AAATATTAAATAACTTTTATATCTGTTTATAATACAGTTTTTGGGGGAGGTTGTTAGCTTAATTTTTTTTAATACAAATTGCACACCAAAAATCTTAGAGAAATGTGAGGCACACAAACATGAGAGCAATCAGATATGGACCCCATTTTCATATTTTAATTACCAATTAAACAGTAGTTATGATTGTCTATATTAAGAGAAATTCAGAAACCTAAACCTGAAAAAAAAAGAGTCCAGTTTTTCTCCCTCCAATTTAATCGGAGTCTCTTCCGCACTTCGGATCCCGACGGTTTTGGTGTTGTTTATATTTTTCTTGATCTGGATTTTGTTAGATCTTGACGGAAAAAATACATATCTAATAACGTGAAGAAGATAAAGAGAAAACCCTAAGGGTTTATTGGGAAAGGGGCAACCATTGTTTATGAAAGGATTCAAAGGTGTTTGCTCTGCTTTCTCTCAACAAACCCACATTTATTTTCTCGTTTTTATCTAAAAATTGTCGTTTTTTTTTTTGTCAACGCAGGCATTTATTGAACAAGATCCATCTTTGGTGTTAATTTGGTGGTCCTCAAACTCTGTTTTATATAAGTTTCTACAGAGTTTGTTTGTAATTCTGCAAAAAACCCAAATTTAGTCTATGTTCATAATTAATCTCTAATCGTAAGGGAAAAAGAAAGAGAGAGATAGAAGTTTTCTTGAGAAAGGGTTCTTCGTAAGGGAATTTAGAGAAGAAATGAATTGCTTTTCATGTTTTTATTTCCATGAAAAGAAAAAACTTCCCGGAGATTCAGATAAAACTGGTCGGAGAAATGGTGAGTTGACCGGTAGAGACAACAACAAAACTCACCCTGGTAAGCTCAGAAAGTCTATATATATTTTCAGATATTTCAATATTTATATATTAGGGTTTTATAAGTTTAGATTCATGTAATGTTTTGTGACTCCTATAACAGAGAATCCAAGACCTAATAAGACTGGGGATGAGCAGAACAAGAACAATGATGCAGACAAAGAAATGACAAACAACATCGCGGCGCAAACATTCACCTTCAGGGAGCTAGCTACTGCAACCAAGAATTTCAGACAAGAATGTCTGATCGGTGAAGGCGGTTTCGGAAGGGTTTACAAGGGAAAACTCGAGAAATGCGGCAAGGTGAAATACTTATTAAAGATCTTTCTTAAGTTTAGTTTGACAGATGAACAATAGGGAATAGTGAAAACAGTCTTCCGCATAATCTAAAAACGTTAAGAAATGTCTTTCATTTCGGTTTAACTAGTTATATTTTTCAAATGTACATATGGTCTAACATCATCACTTAATAGAAAATCGAAAATGTTAAAATTTGATGAATGTTGGACATGAACTCTGTCCTTACATTTCTATACAACAAATCTCTCTCATGAATAGTTATTTTGAATTCCAGATTGTGGCAGTGAAGCAATTAGATAGAAATGGACTTCAAGGGAACAAAGAGTTCATCGTAGAGGTGTTGATGTTAAGTCTTTTGCATCACAAGCATCTCGTGAATCTCATTGGTTATTGTGCTGATGGAGATCAGAGACTTCTCGTCTATGAGTACATGTCTCGTGGTTCACTCGAAGATCATCTCCTAGGTAAAATCACTAAACTAAAAGGATCAGTATTGAAGTATCAATATTTGATTGTTTCTCGAAATGCTTACAGATCTAACACCTGACCAAGTACCATTGGATTGGGACACAAGGATAAGGATCGCGCTAGGAGCTGCAAAGGGTCTTGAATACTTGCATGACAAGGCAGATCCTCCTGTGATCTACAGAGATCTCAAGGCAGCTAATATCCTTCTGGACAGTGAGTTCAACGCCAAGTTATCCGATTTCGGACTAGCGAAGCTAGGCCCTGTCGGGGACAAACAACATGTGTCATCCAGAGTTATGGGAACTTATGGATACTGTGCTCCTGAGTATCAGAGAACCGGTCAGCTAACCATTAAATCTGATGTTTATAGCTTCGGAGTTGTGTTGTTGGAATTGATAACTGGACGAAGAGTTATTGATACAACTAGACCCAAAGATGAACATAATCTAGTGACTTGGGTGAGTTTTACTTCAATTTCTTACTAAAACTTTACACTGACTAAAGACTTGTAATTTGGCTTCAATATTGTTGCTTATAATTAAGACCGAACTTTACATTAAAATATATTGTGTGTGTTTAGGCACAACCGGTGTTCAAAGAACCGAGTAGATTCCCGGAGTTAGCGGATCCGAGTCTTGAGGGAGTGTACCCGGAGAAAGCTCTGAATCAGGCTGTGGCGGTAGCAGCAATGTGTTTACAGGAAGAGGCAACAGTAAGGCCACTAATAAGCGACGTTGTGACGGCTCTTGGTTTCTTAGGAACTGCTCCTGATGGCTCAATCTCTGTTCCAAACTACGACGACATGCCTCCTCCTCCTCAGCCCTCGGATGGAACGTCCTGTGACGATTCTGCGGCCGCGGAAGAACGGGAAAGAGCCGTGGCAGAGGCAATGGAGTGGGGAGTTGCTTCGAGAGCACATTCCCGGAACCCAAGTGCAGCACATTCCAGGAACCCAAGTGCTTCTTGATTTTAAGTTTTACATTTTTTTTGTCGTCTTGATTTTTAATTTTGGGTTTGGTTGTTTTTTTATGATTTTTTTGTTGGCTTATTAGTGATAGAAGTTGTTACCCTTAATTTATTTGTGTTGTAATGTTAATGTGCTTTTTTGTTTGAATGTGTATATTCCAGCTGAATTTTCATAGCTCGAGAAAGCAAAATTTCATGGATTCTTGTTCTTGGTTTTTAAGCTTCGCACATTGATAGTCTTTTTTTGCCCAACATGCTTCT